AGGGACAGCTAATTTACCTCGAGATTCTAGAGAAGTTTTCAAAAATCAATGGGATCCCAAATTCGGTTGAGTATGAAGTATCATCTACAAACAGACGGGTTAATTTTTTAGCATAATATTGGGATATGATATGTTATTATCAACTGATTGGAATAAGGGTAACATAATTAGTACAGGTGTATATTTTGTAATAATGGTGACATAATCAGGAGCTGGATAAATTTGTAATAAAAGTGACATAATTAGGAGCTGGGTAAATTTATAATAAGAGTACCATAATCAATAGATAAGTATATTGGGATAAATGTGACATAATCGATTTATGGAAATGATGATTTTTTTATCACGGGACATTATTATCGCATCTTATGATGCGATGGGGTTGATTTTTATCACATGTGTTCAATTCTATGAGTTTGAGATGGATTAAATGAGTTGTGTTTATCGCATCCTTGTGATGCGAGAAGTGGTGTTTATCGCATCATTATGGTGCAACAAGTGAGTTTATCGCATCTGTTGGATGCGACGAGTTGGGGAATAGATGAGATAAGTTAAGGTGATCGCATCTGTTGGATGCGACAAATTGGTGTGTTATGTGTTTGATGCGACAAGTTTGGTATCTTATGAATTTGATGCGATGAAATATGGTTGTCTCATCTATATGATGCGACAAATGAAAGTTTGTTAAGTTAATCATAATTGCATATTATTTGAGAAACAAATGAAAGTTTGTTAAGTTAATCATAATTGCATATTATCTTCTCAAATACTAGCTTTCCAAAAGTGTTTCGGTGATTTTCACCATGTAATAGCAATCAAGGGAACTACTTACTAGACCTTATAATCTAATCCTCGTTTTGTTTTAAAAAATGTGCATTACAGGTCGAACACATGTGGAAGGTAAAGGGAAGGGAAAAATGTGAAGAGATTTGTTAGTAATTCACATTTGTGGATTTTTGGGAAGTTGAATATGTACATGATTTGTGAAGTCGTGCTATTCAAGTCATGTAATTATATGAGCAAAAAGTTTGTAACTACTTTTGTATGTAACACTATGTGTACATTTGGTACCAATGTGTATATGTGTATTTAATGTTATATGGATATGTGTTTTATGCAAAGGGGAGTTAGGGTGTTACAGATTTAGTTTTCGGTTTTGAGTTTTCAATTTTAGAGTTCGATTTAGTTTTGGATTTTTGGTATCCAACGACCACCACTAGTCCATCATCTTTCTCCAGCGCAAAAACGCTTCCCCAAATGTGTAACCCCTCTAACGCAGACCTCCAACAGTGGCACCACCACCCATCACATTTAATATACACACAGATACACATTCACACTCGTCTTTTATCTCCGTCTCAGTTTCTCAAATAGGAAGGAAATTCGTAGAATTTGATTTTTTGGTTGCAAGTTTTCTTGTGAGCTTAAATAAGTGGGTTTTGCTTGGTTGCCATGGGTGGAAGGTTTTAATGTTCATTGATGGTTTGATTCTTCTGATTTTCTATGATGTTTAACCACATAAAGCAAGATTAGGTAGCATTGTGGTGAAACCAATGACAAATTCCTCAACTAGTCCGAAATTCAAGTCTTAATAAGGTTTGCAGGCTTTGATTTGGGTTGGGTTTTGATCGAAGGAAGTAGCACTACTAGTCCTTCTTGAGTCATGAGAGTTCTGTTCCAAGTTGGGTTAACGGATTTTTTTAACGGGAGTTAGTCTGAGTGATCAAAAGTGAAGTAATATGGTAATTACAATGAATAAACATGTAACTAGTTTAAAAGAGAGACCGGACTTACTAATAGGTGACAATCTCAAGGACCAAAAATATAATTTACGCTTTTTCTATTTAAAACTAAAAACATAATCTTTTTTGTGTATGCGTATGACACGCAACACAATAATATCAATTTGCATGCTTATTTGTTCAAAATAATGCGTGTGGGGTCAGATCCTGTATTTATTGCACCATTGGTTATGCATGGCCTATTGTTTTGATATAAGCAAAATAACTTGTCTAAAAGTAATATTATTTTTAAAAAAAAAGCATGTTTGGAATCAGTTTGTACATGTCTCATTAATATATGAGACGAACGGATCTATTTTTTTGGTTGATTTTTACTTTTCATATGTAACGTCATGTGTTCAAGTCTTTTAATACGGTTTTTTTGGAAACATAACAAATACGAAATTAAAATCTAAAAACTAATGAAAATGACAAATAATTAGATTCAAACCCAAGTCTGGGGTGAGAGAAAAACTATGTAAACCAACTCTACCAAGAAAAACTTGTGTTACTATTGTAGTTTCAAAATATATAAATTTGCACAAATTAAAATGATATAGTAACACCTTTCACGATCCCATCATTTTTTACACTACAACAAAGGAATAAGTGATGGCCTTTGCCACCTAATTTATTAAAATGGGTCCGCCTCTACTTTGAGACCCTGAAAATAGTCAAGAAAACTTTCAATTACCTTATAAAACTCAAACCAGTAAATTCTGAAAAGAATCCAGATACCTCTATAAACAATTTCTTGCTATAAAATAACTAGTTTTTTTATGTAGTCTAAGGGGTCGTTTACTAAACACTTACCCGGTAAATGCTTACTTAGTAATTTTTCCTTACTGGAATAACATGTCAAGGGTCAAAAATCTTACCCGGTAAGAACAATAGTAAAGATGAAAAGTCTTACTTGGTAAGTAAGGATGACGACTCTTACCCGAATAAGTGCTCGCCGAGTAAATTATTGCATACGATACCATTTTGATGTACTACAATTTTACCCTGTAAAATACGGTAAATGCTTACCGAGTAAGCTTTTAGGTAAACGACTCCTAAATCGAATTAGATCTTTAAAATTTGTCTAAAATCATTACATCAAATCTTTGTTTTTTGTTTTTCAAGTTTGCCATGATTAAATTCGAACGTACTTTCAATTGAAAATCAAGATTTGATCGATATAAAAATAATATACTCTATTTAGAAAATAAATAAATAAATAAATAAATAAATAATGATTCAATGACAATTGACAAGTGATACGTCAAAGAGAGTGGTATTAGGTGAGAGGTGAATGGATGTAGGTGTGTTGGTTGGTCACGCTTCTTGCATGCTTATTTGGGCCTACAAAATATTACACAAATCCATTAAAAGCAAACTTTATTTCGTTGATTAGCTTTTGGATTTTACACTAACTCTAACATTCTAATTCTAATTCTAATAATAATTGGAGTGAATTATACTTTGGTGTCTATGATTTGACACAAAATATGTATTTACTTTTTAAAATTAATTATTGATGGTCTTTAATTTCATAACATTTAAGGTCCTCCAACTTAACACCGTTAATTAGCAACTGTCATAAAAAGCAAATCAATCTCTCTTAAGATGAAAACCAGATTTTGTACAAACTATAGGGACTAAAAGTGTAACTCACTCTAAAATTAATTTATAAAAATAAGATAAAACATATTTTGGAGGAGGAAATGAAATAGTCATTTTGAATGTCTAATAGAATAAAATATGAATATTTATAATAATTTATACAAAATATGTGTATTTAACCAAGGAAATCATAAAAACATCGAGGAAGTAGACAAGGATAAAACTCGATTCTTCGTTGGAGATCCTAGTTCAACGACGGGAACAAAAATGAAGATCGAGTCATATTCAGTAACAAGGAAGTGATTGGGACTCCGATGCTTCATGACCCCTGTTGCCATCTCTATACAAACCCCACTTTCAGGTGACATATATTCAAGTCGATTGAATTTGGTAGTTAACTAATGACAAAATTCGAAATTTACATGCTTTCAATGTTGATGGATGAATAAATCAACCAGTTTGATATGTATCATAAATAGCTTTTGAATTAAAAAAGGTAAATGTAAACAATAAATTACTGAGTTTTATATAATAATCCTTTTTAGTTATGTTTAGTAGTTTTTGTCATATTTTATGACTTTTTATCTTAAATTATACATGTTATATGAAACACATATAAAATGTTATATCATTTGAGTTAAAAATTGCTTAAAAGATATGGTAGGTTCATGAATTTGAGAATTGCATTAGACTAAAATAACCTTGTGGACCACATGGAGGAAGAATTAATACATTAGTGGATAAAAGTAGGACATTATGATTTTTGGGACACTTTTTAATTAGAATTACGATATTTGTGACACAAAATGTATATGTATAATTGGAAAGAAACAAGTGAATGTAAAAACATAAATGTGTAAAGGTATCAGAAAAAGAGCAATCCGCAGAACCTTTTATTAACCCCACTTGCCTTTCAAATATTTTAAATAATAACACCTCAAAAACCCCACCCATTTACTACTCATTTTCGCTATCTTTACTTTTACTTCTTTTATTCTTCCCTCTTTTGAATCTTTGTATCAATGGGTTTTATAATAGCTTATGATTTTTCATAAAAGTATTTATTAATTTATTATAAGTTAAAAAAATTTAATTTTTTTAAAATTTTTTTATTATTGGTTTGATATCTATATAAGTTATTTATTAAAACACTTAAAAATGTTTATTACCGATGTCACATCGAAATAAATTATTTTTATAAAAAATCTCAAACATCCACTAATTATTTGATTAAAAATAATTTATTACGGGAGGTATTTTTATTTGATTGATTATAAAAAATATATTTTATATAAATAAAGAAAAAGGAAATTCTGAATATTTGTAGAAAAGTAATTTATTTTTCAAAATCATTGCAATTTTTAAGTAAGAAGAGCTTGTACAGAGTAAAAAAGAAAAAATCCAGAAAGTGAATGCTTTAATAATTTGTACATTGTTCAATAATGATTGTACATCTCTTGTGCCGAAAAACTACCAGATTTGCTTCCTCACCATCTTCCCTACTCATTCCTTCTTCCCCGTTCCTTTCTTCAAGAAACACCTTGCTTCACAGAGACTTGCAGAGAACCCAAAATGGGTTTTTGTCTTCTCCTCCTACTTCTACTCCACTTACAACTAATGCCCGAATCCTTCGCCGACGGATCAGCCCGGTTGCCGGAATACCGAGCACTACTTTCCTTGAAAACCGCCATTACCGACGATCCACAATCCTCTCTTTCTTCATGGGACATCTCTACTAGTCACTGCACATGGTCCGGTGTTACTTGCGACTCTAAAAGACATGTGATCGCCTTAAACATTTCTGGACTTAACCTCACCGGAACTCTTTCTTCCGACATCGGAAACCTCCCCAACCTCGTCAACTTCACCGTCGCTGCCAACAACATTGCCGGTCCTATTCCTCCTGAAATCTCGTTGATCTCCGGCCTTCGTTTTCTTAACCTGTCCAACAACATCTTCAATGAGACCTTCCCGCCAGAACTTGCTGACCTTAAATTTCTCCAAGTGCTTGACCTTTACAACAACAATTTGACCGGCGACCTTCCGGTCGGTGTCTCGGAAATGACAAGCCTTCGTCACCTCCACCTTGGTGGAAACTATTTTTCTGGCGTTATTCCCGTGGAATACGGCAGGTTTCCTGCTCTCGAATACCTAGCGGTCTCGGGAAACGAGCTCTCCGGAACTATCCCACCGGAAATCGGAAACCTTACTACCCTCAAATATCTCTACCTCGGTTACTACAATGTTTACACCGGCGGTATTCCTCCCGAAATTGGTAACTTATCAAACCTCATTCGCTTCGACGCCGCCAACTGTGGCCTCACCGGAAAAGTTCCTTCCGAACTCGGTAAACTTCAAAACTTAGATACGCTCTTCTTACAAGTAAATGGACTCTCCGGATCTCTAACGAAAGATCTCGGTACTCTAAAAAGCTTGAAATCATTGGATCTTTCAAACAATATATTCACCGGAGAGATACCGGATTCATTCCGAGAGCTCCTAAATCTCACCTTACTCAACTTGTTTCGCAACAAACTCCACGGCTCAATACCGGACTTTATCGATGACTTGCCGGAATTAGAAGTCTTGCAGCTGTGGGAAAACAACTTCACCGGAAGCATTCCACAAGGTCTTGGCACAAACGGGAAGCTGCAGATCCTTGATCTGTCTTCAAACAAATTAACTGGCTCACTTCCTTCTAATCTGTGCGTCGGAAACAAGCTTGAAACCCTAATCACATTGGGCAACTTCTTGTTCGGACCGATTCCGGCATCTCTCGGTGAATGCCAATCATTAACTCGAATCCGAATGGGGGAGAATTATCTCAATGGTTCTATTCCGAAAGGGATGTTCAGTTTGCCTAAACTCTCACAGGTTGAGCTTCAAGATAATCTTCTCACCGGAGAATTCCCGGTGACAAATTCTGTTTCAATCAGTCTTGGTCAGGTGAGTTTATCCAACAACCATCTCACCGGTCCTCTGCCTGCTAGCATTAGTAACTTCTCCGGTGTACAGAAACTTTTGCTCGACGGTAACCAATTTACAGGCCGCATTCCGGCCGAAATAGGGAAACTGCAGCAGCTATCGAAAATAGATTTCAGCCGCAACAGTTTATCCGGCAAGATCGCTCCGGAGATCAGCCAGTGTAAGCTCTTGACGTATGTGGATCTTAGCCGGAACCAGCTTTCCGGTGAGATTCCTACCGAAATCACTGGTATGCACATTCTCAATTACCTGAACGTATCACGTAATCATTTGGTTGGCAGCATTCCAACATCCATAGCGTCAATGCAGAGCTTGACATCTGTTGATTTTTCTTATAATGATCTTTCCGGCTTGGTTCCCGGCACCGGTCAGTTTAGTTACTTCAATTACACTTCATTCTTGGGGAACCCAAAACTCTGTGGACCATATTTGGGACCTTGTAAAGATGGGGTTGCCAATGGCACCCATCAATCACATTCAAAAGGAAGAATTTCTGGTTCTGTGAAGCTTTTGCTTGTTATTGGACTTCTTCTCTGCTCCATCGCTTTTGCAGTTGCAGCCATTATCAAAGCTCGATCTCTAAAGCGAGCTAGCGAAGCTAAAGCATGGAAGCTTACGGCTTTCCAAAGATTAGACTTTACGTGTGATGATGTTCTTGATAGCTTGAAAGAAGACAACATTATTGGAAAAGGAGGAGCTGGGATTGTTTACAAAGGGGTAATGCCAAACAATGAGCATGTGGCTGTGAAGAGATTACCGGTTATGAGCCGGGGTTCAGCCCATGATCATGGGTTCAATGCCGAGATTCAGACTCTAGGGAGGATTAGACACCGGTATATTGTAAGGTTACTGGGATTCTGTTCGAACCATGAGACCAATCTACTAGTTTATGAGTATATGCCTAATGGGAGCTTAGGAGAAATGCTTCATGGGAAGAAAGGCGGGCATTTGTATTGGGGTACAAGATACAAGATTGCTGTTGAATCTGCAAAGGGACTTTGCTATCTCCATCACGACTGCTCTCCGTTGATCCTCCATCGTGATGTGAAATCCAACAATATCCTTTTGGATTCTAATTTCGAAGCCCATGTGGCTGATTTTGGTCTTGCTAAGTTCTTGCAGGATTCAGGCACCTCCGAATGCATGTCCGCCATTGCTGGTTCTTATGGCTATATTGCACCAGGTATATATATAATCTTCTTGTTTGGGTGGTTAAGTTCAAAACTTGCTTCTATTATGTTTTTCACTGCAATGAAATCAGCTTTATAAGATGTTAAACTAATAGACCACTTTAAATCGTCCTTTGAAGTTATTGCAACACCTTTTCATACAATCATCTGATCCTATAAAACAGCAGATTAGGATCTTTTAAGTGTCCTGTAAAAGCTGATTTTGTTATAGTTTTGTGACATGGATTTGATTGTTTCTATGGTTGCAGAATATGCATACACACTAAAGGTTGACGAGAAGAGCGATGTGTATAGCTTTGGTGTTGTGCTGTTGGAACTAGTGACCGGGAGGAAACCAGTTGGGGAATTTGGGGATGGTGTAGACATTGTGCAATGGGTGAGAAAGATGACGGGTGGTAACAAAGAACGTATTACAAAGATCTTGGATCCAAGACTACCCAACGTGCCCACCCACGAGGTGATGCACGTGTTCTACGTGGCAATGCTTTGTGTTGAAGAACAAGCTGTGGAACGCCCTACCATGAGAGAAGTTGTGCAAATCTTGACTGAGCTTCCAAAGACTCCCATTGCCAAACAGGAAGGAGATTCAGCGGCAGCCAACAGCAATTTGTGTGATTTGCCATTGGCAACACCACCAGCCGCCATGGAAGCACCCACCAACGCCCCAAAAAACGACAGTGATCAAAACCAGCTTCGCGACCTGTTGGGCATCTGAATGTTGGGTTAGGTTTGTGTTATTGGGGTGTAATTTGTAAATAGTAGGATTCAGTTTATGGCAATTAATTAAGCAGTTGGGTTGATCTACATTACATAAAGCATGAAAGACTTGAAAACCATGGGAATTAATGTATGGGATATTTTCACAGTTAAACAGAATTGGTCCAGCTTGGTCTCTGGTTAACATCGTTACAAGTAGATAACTAAAAAAAAGATAATAACAAGGGTTAATCATGAAAAAAGTTCACCAAATATCCCTTTTTTAAATCATTATCACAAAACGACCGGTAAATATGACCTAGAAAGCAAACCTTTTGTTTTTCATCTGAGATATAACCCATTGTTTAACGGTAAATCTGCAAATTTACCGGTTATATCATATGATCATTTATAAAAAATAGACAATAAAATTTATACATTATTTTTATTTAAACCGACCGAAAAATCAAATAAATCATCTTTTAACAAACTATTTTTACATAGATATATAATTAAAAAACATCTTCTATATTGATTTTTTTAACATATACCACTGGTACGTGATATATGAGAAGACGAGATGTAACTAGACATGATTTTTATTTCAAAAAGCAGAGTAGTTGTTGTCTTATGTGAAATACATGAAAAAACTTGTAATAGAGAAAAAAAAGTTTAGGTGTATTTATTCATGAGTTTATTTTTATACATTGTTATAACACCTAAAATAAATAAATGCATAATACAAATCTATATTTATGATAAGGTATTTGGGTTTACTTTTTAAAGAGGAATACAAATATTAAACCATTATTTCCAATATTTGTAATATTTAGTATTTTATTTTTTCCATAAACAATAAAAATGGAAGCTAGAAGTTCTTGGAAACTCATATTATTTTTTTCAAATAAATGGATCGAGTTTCGAAAACCCGCATAATTACATCAGGTTTTTTATAAGAACAAATTGCATAAAAATATAATGTACTTTGTTTTGATTCTTATTGTGTGTAACATGCTTTTAAAAAATTCAATTTGATACTTGAGATCAAAACTTTCAAACATTTATGTACCTAAGTAATTTGTTTAACCATTAACAGGTTATTATGCGAATGACATGACATCCAAGTCAGGATTATTTGTTGATATGACAAATGATGTGGATTTTTTTGTTTTATTATTAAATGTTCATATTCTCCAAATAAATAATGAAGAACATCAAGCCAATGACGAACATCAATGGTATATCACAACAATTTGCAATTTTATTCCAGAAAATTTATCATAAGAACCCTAAATCAAATCCATAATCAAAATTCAAAGAAAAAGCATACATAAAACCTAAATAAAAAGCATAAAGCAAAACAAAACATGATGAGATATGAGTGAAAATGGTGACGATTAAGGTGTTATTTTGAAAAGGTTCATTAGAATGGGTGAGAATGGTGACGACGAAACAAATCTAGGTGAAAATGGTGGCGAGGAAACAGATCTGGATGAAGCCGAGTCTCACGCAGGTTGGGAGAGGTCGACTTCGGATCGTAAATAAATCATCTCTGGCCACACAGCATCTCTTAGGACATCTCCACGCATGACCGAAATCCAAATATGGGGTTTTCACTGGAGCAAATAGGAGAAAGGGTATCTTAGAGGCGGTGTGGGGTGGGAGCTTTCACCGGTGGAGGATTCATCGTTGGAGAGTGAAGTGTTTCACCGATTTAGGGCTTCGTATGCGGAGGAGAAACAATTTGGAAGATATTGTGTTGGGATGAAAATCTCAAAAACAGGAATCACATTCACGCCATGGGTTAAAAAATAATAATAATATAAAAAGTTATTATATTATATTTTTTATCTTTTAACATGAAAAAAGCAAAAAATATGTAATAAAAATCCACATCATTTTTCATATCAACAAATAATATTGACTTGGGTGTCACGTCATTCGTCATATCAACATAATAACTTGTTAATGGTTAAACTAGTCACTCAGATACTTAAATGTTTGAAAGTTTTAATCTCAAATGCCAAAAAGAAGGGTTTGAAACTACATTACCAAAAATAAGAATAAAAACAAAGTACATTACTTTTTCATCCAATTTGTCCTTTTAAACAATCTAAATTATCTTAAATATGATTAATTTTTAATTAAACAAATTATTTAAAAAAATAATATCTTATTCTTATTAATTTGATATATGTATTGATACATATATTTTTTCAAGTATTTAACCCAAATTTCGAAATTCTAATCACAAGTAGGTTTACATGTAAGTATATGCATATAATATTCTTATTATACTTTCTTCGTCCTAAAATCAATATTGTTGTATATTTTTATTTTATTTTATCCCAAAATAAGTTTCTATTTTTTCTCAATAATATTGAGAATAAAATTGTTTTTTAGTTAATTAAAAATTGTAACAATTACATATTCTTAAACCGTATGCCTTTTTCATTGTGGAAATTTATTTTGGCACATATGTAGTATTATTCATACATTTACAACTTATTATTACTATAAACATAAAACTTATTATTACATTTAAAATTTATAAAATGTCTTACAACTACCTGTTAAACATGTTTAAATAGAAGATAATAGTTGAGTTCTACTAATACATCAAAATACTCCCAAAAACTGATAACTAAGAGAATACTTTTCTACTCTCTATAAACTATACAAATCCATAAAATAAAATAAAATCTGAGAGAGATGAAATATTAAATATACATGTATCATAATGCATCATTGCATTGTATGAATACATTGTTAGTATCAGGGACGAACCCAATTTTTTTTTCCAAATGGTGACGCCATTTGACTATATAAAAAACTATATGAAAAAAATTTCAAATGGTGGTATCGTTTGACTATAAAAAACAAATATACGAATTTTTTTTTTCAATTAGTGGCACCATTTGACTAAGAAAATGGTACTAACAATATTCGAACTTGGGTTTGGGGCGGAATGAAAGCCTTGTAAACCAACTCTACCAAATAAAACTTTTTCTTATTAGAGTTTCAAAATACATACGGTGACACACAACAGATTAATACGGTTGCACATTTCACGAACCTAAATTTTTTTACCCTTCGATAGAGGAATAATATGGTGGCGCGTGTCACCATATGCACCACTAACGTCCATGCTTAGTATATAAAATATGTTACATCACATCGATATATATATATATATATATATATATATATATATATATATATGAGAGAGAGAGAGAGAGGCAGGTTACGTTGCAAACCTTTCAATTCATGAAAACTATGCAAACCAATTTCGACCAATAAAAAAATTCAATTTTTTTTATTTAATTTTAGTAAGTAAGGGTATAATGGTCATTTCATCGTATATTGCTTAATATTGGAAGGTAATAACTACTGTTAATTATAGAAATGTATTAATGGAAACGTTTCATACGGAATGAGGTAAATCTTTTTTCTTAATATAATTTTTTTACCATTAAAATTTTATTATTATTTTATTAAATTATACTTATTAAAATATGAATTGTAAAAACAGTAGAATATGAAATTTGTGTTCGTTTCATTTCTTGAAACAGTTTAATTTGATTTAATGAAATAGTTTCATTTTTTGATTTAATGAAACAAAATATTTGCTTTAATATTCAAAATGTTTCATTATTTTTTGTTGATTATAGTATGTTTTATGTTTCATAATTTATTAGGATATACCTAATTCATTGTAGGTGACAAGAAATGAAACTGTTTCACCTTTTATAGAACGAACTCACGTGACTCCTTGTCACCAACAATGAAAGACGGACCGATTGTCATGTAGTGTTGAACGATAATTGCAAACTGTTTCATTAACGGTTATTGAATTAGTATTGGACTATTAATAAATTCTAATCAAAATAATTTTAAAACAAGGGAAATCCTAATAAACGATGAAACATATAAATAATTAAACATTTTTAAAAACTTAATGAATTTTTTTGAAAACTGAATATTTTTTAATTTAATAAATGTTTTTCATGTATAAAAAGTTCTGAAATATTAATAAATTAATTTAATCAGTGAAATTGTGTTCATAGTCACTATTGAACATGACATTCCTTTCGTTACTCAAAGTACATATATATTTTCAATGAAACGAACATATATTTCATATTCTACTGCTTTTACAATTCATATTTTAATAAGTATAATTTAATAAAATAATAAAAAATATTAATGGTAAAAAAAATTGTATTAAGAAAAAAAGATTTACCTCCTTCCATATGAAGCGTTTCCATTAATACATTTCCATAATTAAGAATATTATTAGGATATACTTAATTCATTGTTGGTGATTTGACAAATTTTCTTTTTTTTAATTAAACTTTTATTTTCTTTATTTCCTAATATAAACTCATTTAATATTGACTATTGATGAAAAAAAATGGATGAATGAGATTGGTTTGTAAGGTTTTTACAAATGAGAGTGATTTGCAATTGATTCCTCCTATATATATATATATATATATATATATATATATATATATTTCGTATCAAATGCAACTCATCTCATTTGTATAACCAATGCAACCCAATAAATACATGTGTTTATGGAAATGATTAGAGTTTATTTATTATGATTTGAGTATTTATGGAAGATGAATGTAGTTCATTAATTATGATCAATACTTTATATTAAGAAACAATCAAAACATTTATGAAATCACATATTCATAAATTTCCTAATATATATATATATATATATATATATATATATAGGGGCCTAATCAAATGAGAACTAATTAGTTTGTGGTAACTGTGGGAACAAATATTAACCACAAATTAATAGATAAATTAAGAAATTTATAATTTTGGCAATTTTAAATTAAAATATTAATGCAAGGATATTTTTAGTATTTTAAAACTTTCCTTCCTCTTCTCTTCTTTCTCCGGCCACCGTCCTGCGACCACCGTCCGCCGGCCACCGTCCTCCGGTGATACTACAATGGTATTACAATGCATCATATATGTGTTTGGGTATCACATTGATGTCGTTTGTGTGGTCGATCGGAGATGTAACACAGTGGTATCACTATGCATCTTATATATGATTAGGTATCACAATATATCTTTTGTTTAACAGAGTCAATATTTTTTGGTATCACCGGAGGACGGTGGCCGGAGGCCGGAGAACGGTGGCCGGAGAGAGAAGAGACGAGAGAGGAGAGTTT